TCAAAACTATGATAACAAATTTGAAGGTTCAATTATAAAGAAATTAGAAGAATTAGAGAAGAGGAAAGATAAAGTACACAACATGACACTGGATAAACCAATAGTGGAAAAGGATGTCAAAGAGGCAAATAAAACATTGAAAAATAGAAAAGCATGTGGATTTGACAAAATTACAAACGAGATGAAAAAATCCAGTTTCATGTACATTAAACATCATTTACTCAAAATATTTAATACAGTACTACAAGGCGAAAAATACCCATTCCTTTGGAGTAAAGGATATATATTGTACCAATATATAAATCAGGTAACAAAGATGATCCTTCAATTACTATAGAGGTATAACAATAACGAGCCGTTTAGGAAAATTGTTTTCAATTATTCTGAATAACAGGCTAAACAAGTTCTTTAATGATTATAATATTATATCTAAATATCAAATTGGCTTTAAGAACTGCAGGACCTCTGATCATGTATTTGTTCTCAAGTCTATTATGAATAACCATAACAAAATTAGAAAAAATGGCAAAATTATTAAAAAATCACAGCCTCTTTATATGTGTTTTGTGGATTTGGCAAAAGCTTTTGATACAATTTGGAGGAATGAACTGTTTTACAAAATGTACAGAAATGGGGTGAGTGACAAGTTCTTCAAAGTCATCAACAGTATGTATAAGGAGTTAAAATCATGTGTTAGATTGGAAGATGGGTACACTAATTGATAATTCAGAGAGTTTCTATATTGATAATAAAAAGATACAGATTGACAATCAATTACCATATTTAGGAATCAATTTTAACTCAAATAGTAACTTCAAAACCTGCATTAAATCATTGACTCTGAAAGCACAAAAAAGCTACTTTTCAATTAGACAACAATTCAATATTTATGCCAATACCCAATTTAACACACTATGTTATTTATTTGACAGCATGGTAAAACCAGTTTGTATATATGAGAGTGAAATATGGGGTGCCTATACCATCAACAATTTCGAACACAAAGGGACACTCAAATCAATCACAAATGACAATTTGGAATATGAAAAACTACATTTAAAATTCTGCAAGAATACATTAGGAGTCCACAGGAGAAGCTCAAACATTGCATCACAGGGTGCATTAGGTCGATACCCCATACATTTGGAGGTAATTAACGTGTTCTCTTACTGGGCAAGGATAGCACATGGAAAGTCCCCGATTCTGACAAAGATAGCTTTACAAAATGAACTGGATCTACACGAACAAGGACAGAAATCATTTGAAACTTTTATAAAACACATATTAGAAATACTTAAATGTAACAAACTCTGGGAAGCTAATAATCTAAATTCTAAAAACATAAAAAGAATTATTCAAAATAAACTTAAAGATACATATAATAATGAATGCAACTCAATAAAGACAACAATCAAAATGTTGGCAACAAATTAAAGACATACTTACTGGTAAAGAAAAATTACAAATTTGAAAATTATCTAAAAGTAATTTTGAATTATAAAATAAGATCAGCAATTACAAAATTAAGAATTTCATAACTTGCCAATTGAGAAAGGGCGATACAATAATATCCATCAAAAACAAAGAATATGCAAATTGTGCGACTCATCTGAAGTGGGTGATGCAAAACACTATGTTATGAACTGTTCAAACTCAGATATTAAATCAAATAGAGAAATTTTTTTTTCTCACAATATTAGCTTTCCAGAATTTGAAAAACTAAATCAAGAATTTAAATTCATTTATTTGTTAAGTGCTTTGGATACTCATCTTATGATACCTTACACCAAATATGTTAATTCTATTTTAAATGTAGTTAATAGTTGTATTTAGTGGCCATACTGCCTATTGTACTATATCGATGTTGTGTCAATAAATTATTATTACTATTATAATATCAAAGCAATCAGACTTGCAGTTTGTAACAAGAAGTTGAAAATATCACTTTTTACAAAAAATGACAAAATATTCACCAAAATTAGAGAATTGAAGATATCATTATGAAATAAACAAATCTAGGAAAGGTCTACCCAAGGTACATACACACTAAGTATCAAAGCATTCAGGCTTGTAGTTTTCAAGAAGAAGTCGAAAAAGTAAAAGGTTGACATGGACGACGACGGACAATCACACAGCGGAGCTAATAAAAAATATAGTCAAAAGATAAACTGAGCATTTGAAGAATAATTTAAGATTGTTTACAGTGATAACAGCTCATTGTCGAAACAAACTTTCCCATTCACGCTAGTCGCAATAAACATCATACTCTTGGATGGGCGTCAATGACTACAGTGAAACTTTTAAGCATCATGAAAAATTAATACAACACCTTAAAAAACTGCCGAAAAATGTCTTGGTCTCATTTTATATTTTTAAAACTCAAACTGCTGTTTAAAGGCGCAGGGTGAATTGACGGCAGAATCCGGTAATTATTTATGATATGCAGTAACAGTATGAAACATGGGAGTGGAACACTTCTAAAAGAGTAAAGTTTGTGCACACTTGTGCAAAAAAATCATGGTCACATCATGGTCATGTGCATATTATAGTTGTGTGGAACTTGTCAGATCGTAAAGCTAGCATGGATGGCAGCTTACAATTCATGATACTCATATTCATATTTACCATAGAGAGTGCTGCAGAACAGGCGAGTCAACAAAAACGTTCTTAAAAAGACTTATCATATAAAACAATAAAACTGCCTAATCCTAGCTGTCAATTCACATATACCATAATTTACAATTATACTAAACTGTACCAGGTTGTTCTCAGACCACCACTAATTTGTTTGGATACAATACTTTCAGCAGTATGAAAAACAGTATTGTATGAAATTTTCACATAAGGGTACAGTATATAATTCACAAACAGCGCCATCTAGAGTTTGAATCAAGTTACTCAAAATGCACATGTCATGCAACAATTTTTGTATACTGACTGAGATTCTAGAGTCATGGTAATTCAATTTTATCACACCAAACAGATTATCCATTCAGTGGACATTATTTTCTGGTGATACAATAGAAGCTACATTCTATACACCGATTATCCACTCAGTGGACATTATTTCCTGGTGATACAATAGAAGCTACAGTCTACTCACACCAATTATGCACTCAGTGGACATTATTTCCTGGTGGTACAATAGAAGCCACAGTCTACTCACACCGATTATGCACTCAGTGGACATTATTTTCTGGTGATACAATAGAAGCTACAGTCTACTCACACTGATTATCCACTCAGTGGACATTATTTCCTGGTGATACAATAGAAGCTACAGTCTACACACACAGATTATCCACTCAGTGGACATTATTTTCTGGTGATACAATAGAAGCTACAGTCTACTCACACAGATTATCCACTCAGTGGACATTATTTCCTGGTGATACAATAGAAGCTACATTCTACTCACACCGATTATCCACTCAGTGGACATTTTTTCCTGGTGATACAATAGAAGCTACAGTCTACTCACACCGATTATCCACTCAGTGGACATTATTTCCTGGTGATACAATAGAAGCTACAGTCTACTCACACCGATTATGCACTCAGTGGACATTATTTCCTGGTGATATAATAGAAGCTACAGTCTACACACACAGATTATCCACTCAGTGGACATTATTTTCTGGTGAGACATTAGCAGCTACAGTCACCATGTAGCATTTTTTGAAGTGGGCAAGAGTATTACATAATAGTTATGCCCATGCTTATATCCCCTTCCAATGGGACCATTTTGAGTCACATGTCATCTGTTTCCCTTATGCTGCTTTAAGATATACTGGGCATAACACAAAATACGCATACACTATTGCTAAAATCTTGCATCTTAAATGGGTAAAATTCTGAATGGTTGAACAAGCTCTTAGGTATTTTTTAGTTAGTACCAAGTTGTAAAATCCCAAATATTTCCTATAAATGTAGTAATATCATGATATATGTATTATCACAAGGTCTCCGGGTACACTTAGGAGATGATTTGAAATTATCATTTAACTTCAACAACAAAATAATTTAATTTATACCATACTTAGACTATTTGGAAAATTTAACAAAAATAGAATATTACTGAAACAAATTGTTTTGTGAGACATTGTTCAGTTTTTGCACTGAGATTTGATTTTCCATTAAATACCAGAGTTAAAAGAAGGCAGTAATGTTCCATCAAGCAGCTGTCAAGAAAAATCTGAAATTCTTTCAACACTACACAACAAGCCACAGATGTTTTTCTGTTGGAAGGTCACCAACCTCCAATTTACTACAAGGACAGTGTGGACATTGATATGTTTACCTCTGTAATACTGCTAGTAGGGAGACCACCATGTAATATTTCATCTAGTTGTTTGAAAGATGTTGTCATGAATGCTGCTTCTTCTTCAGCCTGCTGTAGTAAATCCAATGCCTGCAAATGTCACAATAATCTCAGTATTACCTCAAGCCTTCCAGAATCATACCCCAAACGCCCAAGTGGGCCAAATGCACTTTGTACGATTCTCAAAAAATTATATTACTCATACCCAGTAAATTCTAGATATATGGCATGTTGAGGTGAAAGTGTGCCACCAATTGTCAAAATATGAGAGGAAGACATACTCTTGCGCCATACTTTATTATACTGTGTCATGTATTGATACCATTAAAATTATAGATGTTTCTGAAGTTGTTTCAAATGATTTAACTTTTTTGCGATCCTGATTATTGTTTTGTAGAGACCATTTATTTAGTGTTATGTAGGAGGTAGCAATAATTTTGCTAGTGACACAGAAACCAAAGTTCCGGTCAGTCAGGAAATTACATAGCACTTACACACTGCTATTTGTTTTCAATTTCACTGTCTAAATTTCTGAATTGCTTGGTGATTGGTGTTGAGTGACGTTTTCACACCTCTGATTTTTTTAGAGAATAAGAATCTGGGCTGGACTGTCATTGTTTTGCAACAAAGTAATTTTTAACATGATGTCGTAATTATGACAACCACACTTACTAGAATCGAACTCTGAATTTTAGTTTATGTTTTGCTCTCAATTATTTTTTGTTATCTAATCAAACGCCGCCATTCACGCATACATGTATGTGCTCAGTCTATAATATCCAGGGTTTACATGACACGATTGGTTGAAATAATCATCTTATTTGCATAAAGTAATATTCATGAGCAATGAAAAACTCGTCTTTTCAGTAAAATTGTGCCAAAATGCTATCCTATAGCATACATGATAGTTTTAAATTGATTGATTCTATCATTACGAGCTGAAAAACTAATGTAAAGACATTTGTTTGTTTTTGATCAGACTCCAGCAAACTGTTGAAAGTAATCACAGGTTTATTCTTTACCCTGATCATAGCAAATTACGAAATTCATAGAGAATACAGAGGCACGTTTATATTTCACTCTAGTACTATTGCTCAAAATGTTTTCAATGGCTTTTATCAGTGACAAGTTACCTAATTAGTATGCATTTCAAGAAATCACAATGTGTGTGCATGCAGTTTGAAATGGAAAAATTTTCGAACGCAATAAAATCATGCATAGAACTTGGGCTCCAGTAAGAAATTGTGGCGTCAAACTGGCTTTCGGATGAATTGTTTTGCAATAGACATAATTTTAGAGCGTGTATTTTTCTATGAAATGTTTTTTAGGTTTGTTCTGTAAAGAAATTGCTGAAGTTATTTCATATGTTCATAAAAGGGGCGTTGTTGCTTTGACGATGGGCTGTGAATGACTGACATTGAAACGTTCCATTCAGATCGGATGGCGCCCTCTCGTGCCAATCCCCCCTGATAATATCTATGTCAGCCCACACAGATCAAATTACAATACAAATGTCTATGTACTAAATTGGACAGTTTTAGGTGCAAGTAGAATTATGCAAAGAAACATGAGAATCACAGATTTTCATTAAAAATAGGTGTGCAACTCAGAGATAATACTCTACACATATAAAATGCAGGTATGGTCATTTCAAATTTGATCGAAATAGAAAACGTTTATCATAATGTACCAACTACATATCAAGTTTGGAAAAAGCAGCCTTTCGGCTAAGATAGCCATGCTGTTAGCAATGCACATTTTAATTAAAGAACTGAAGATATTATTAGAAAATGAACAAATCTGAAAGAGGTCTACCTGAGGTACCTAGATGTATAACATAAAAGCAAACAGATTTGCAGTTTTTAACAAGAAGTCAAAAATATCGCTTTTTACCAAAAATGACAAAAATATTCATCAAAATTGAAGATATAATGAAATGAACAAATCTGTGAGAGGATTATCTGTAGTACCTATATGTGTAACACCATAGCAATCGGACTTGGGTTTTTTACAGCAAATCTCAAAAGTATTGGGGCAGCCAATTTGAAAACTTGCTAGCGAATTGGCTAACTGCTTGGGTTTTGACTAAACAGTTGGCTTTCTAATCTCCCTGGCGCTGTCTTGTGGTCATGCCTACTCTGGGAAAATCTATATAACAGTAGGGGATGGTCATCATACTTTTTGAGCTAATCAGTCTTACAGGCGATTTTGCTTTTAAATATACCAGGAAAAGTGTTCTATGTTTTTCGTGTAATGAAGTGTTCCGTATACAAGGGATTGTTCACACAAAAACGACGAATGAGGTAGAATTTTATTAGCGGTTGGCTTAATGTTACCCCAACGAATCGTTTGGATGTGGAAGTCTATTTTCTCCCTGATTTGCAGGAAACTTTCTCAACTTGACTCTTTATTTAATTTTAAGCCGTGTACAAGATGGCTACCATCTTGTACTTGGTAATTGTAAACTACTTTTACATTATCACGCCTTGCATAACAAAGCAAATTGTCCAGGGGAATCCAGAAAAGTACCGGGCCACGTAAAATCATTCTATGACACCTAAAGCAATGACAAAAATATTCACCAAAATTAGAGAATTAAAGATATCATTACAAAATGAACAAATCTGAGAGAGGTCCACATGTAGTACCTATATATGTAATATCAAAGCAATTGGACTTGCGGTAAAACCGTTTTTAACAAGAAGTTGAAAATATCACTTTTTACCAAAAATGACAAAAATATTCATTAAAATTAGAGAACTAAAAATATCATTACAAAATGAACAAATCTGAGAGAGATCCACATGTAGTACCTATATATGTAATATCAAAGCAATTGGACTTGCGGTTTTTAACAAGAAGTCGAAAATATCACTTTTTACCAAAAATGACAAAAATATTCACCAAAATTAGAGAACTAAAGATATCATTACAAAATGAACAAATCTGAGAGAGATCCACATGTAGTACCTATATATGTAATATCAAAGCAATTGGACTTGCGGTTTTTAACAAGAAGTCGAAAATATCACTTTTTACAAAAATTACAAAAATATTCATCAAAATTAGAGAATTGAAGATATGATCATGAAATGAACAAATCTGAGAGGGGTCTACCGAAGGTACATATATACCAAGTATCAAAGCATTCAGGCTTGTAGTTTTCAAGAAGAAGTCGAAAAAGTAAAACATTGACACGAACGACGGACGACAGACAATCACTCATGTGATAAGCTCCGCTCGACACAGTCGACAGCGGAGCTAATAAGAGAATTTTAGATATCATCACAAAATGAACAAATCTGAAAAGGTCCACATGTGGTATCTATATATGCAATATCAAAGCAATTGGACTTGCAGTTTTTAACAAGAAGTCAAAAATATCACTTTTACCAAAAATTACAAAAATATTCACCAAAATTAGAGAATTCATCATGAAATGAACAAATCTAAGAGAGGTCTACCCAAGGTACATATACACCAAGTATCAAAGCATTCAAGAAGAAGTCGAAAAAGTAAAACATTGACACGGACAACTCCGGACGCCGCCGGACAATCACTCATATGATAAGCTCCGCTTGACAAAGTCGACAGCGGAGCTAAAAAGTTGGCACAGACGACGGATGACAATCACTTATATGATAAGCTCCGTGCGACAAATTCGACAGTGGAGCTAAAAAAACTCGAAAATGCTTTTGACAAATGAACAAACTGATGAACATACTGGTAATTTGATCTTTAAGCCCCTGGACTGTGTCCAGTCAGGGGCTAAAATAATTAATACCGGGTACTGCATGTGGCTGTAGGTGATATCTGAAGGCAAGCTAAAATGTTGTTGCCCCAGATTTCCTTTCCAAACTATAAATTTCACAAGTTATTAAAGTAAGATTGTTTTTAAGATATATGTCAATACATGATTTACTGTTCAACTGTTGCATCAATGACATGAGTTGCATCACTCTACTACAGGACATCTCATTACAGAGAGAGCACACTGATCACATTCAATCCTGGCAATGACAAAGGCCCAGAAAAAAAATTCTGGCAAATTTTTTATCCTAAATCAATTTGTTTCAATGTTTTTTTATATTTTATTGTTAATATTGTCATAACGCTTTTATTTTACTTTTTCCTGAAAATTGAATTTTTTTTGCATTTTACAAAATTTGAAAAAAGCTTTTGTGCAGAACATTTGTAATTGGCATCTGGATATAACCTACCTGCATGTTTTTTTCAAAAGACTGCCCTCACAGGTAGAATTAAGAAATATTTATTATAAGTGCCATGCAGAAATTTATAGTGTACAAGTACATATGTAATTTAAAAACCCAAGTCACAAATATTTAAAGACTTCTTATGATTTTTTTTTTTTACAAGATCAATCACTGGTAGCCCAATATTTTTAAAGCAGTATTTATGCTGTAAAAATAAAAAAGAATATTTTTTTCTATAAACAAATGTCATGTTCAGTACATTATCTTTTTGACAGGTAGATAATGTTTCATATATTTGAATGTATTTGAAATAAAGAGTTCATGTTTTATAGTTTCACTGCTTTCACTCATTGTGCATCGTGAAATACTGCAAATTCCAAGTTTAAAGTTTTAATGTTACAGTATTCAATCTTATTGTCACAAAACTTAAATTGTCACAAAACTTAAATTGTCTTGATTGTACTATATACACATACTTGTATTGCTATGTTGTCATTGGATTAACTTTTATATATACCTGGTAGTTAAATTAACTTTTAATATAGTTTTGTTATGTTTGGATTATAACGCGACTCTAATTAAACTCAATTACACTGCAATTCTAAATAGAATTGTGTTTTAATTTTAGTTTAATTAAATAAAAGTTGAATATCCTATGACTTAACATAGAAATGTTTCTAAATGTTTAGTAAAGGAGGTAGGTATGGTACAATTATATTAATATAAACAGTACCATACATTCCCCCTTTACTAACCCTAAGCTATAACAAATGTATTAATAATTGAACTAACTATTAATATAAATTATGTTTTCCAAGGATGTTTTTTATAGTCCTTGGTATATATCTGTATGTTTGTCCTCACAACATTAATTATGCAAGCACACACACACATGGACATTGTTTTGAAAGGAACTAATACAGAGAATATCAAAATTACGTATCTGAGTCTTGCCTAAATCCTAAACAAATTAAAAACAGAATTGATTATGATAATTGTGAAATAGTTGAAATAATAATGCACACAACTATCAACTGTGGAGCAACAATGTCATCAGGATATAGAACCAGCAAATAAAAGTTAAGATACTACTCATATTTACCGATATAGGTTTTGGCGCACAGGAAATACTTGCAGTCTGTAACACTGTATTCACTTGACTATAACTAACTCCTGTGATCTTCAGTAATTCTAGAAATGTCTTATTCAAAACATCCTATGGAAAACATACATATAGACAGTAATCAAAAGACAAGTCATTAATTTTAAGTTTGAACATGAATCAAAATGATGTGCCAACCTGTTACGTGCACTCCAACCAGGATTAGATAATTTGAACCCCATAGGACTGATTTTAGATACAAGGCCATAAATTACCAAAATTGTGCTTGTCCCAATTGTATTTAATCACCAAATTTCTACCATATCTACTCATTTAGAAACACACATAAACCAATAACTGCATTACTAATTGTATCTTGAATCTATGATTTAGTTTACATTCATTTTTTACTAATAAAGCAAATGTGGTATATATTTAGTTTTGGCTGAATTTTGTGCAAATACATGGTAATTTTGATTATTTATATTTTAATATGCTGTTATCAGTTATCTATTTAGGTGACCGCTTAATTTTATATTGACAAATGCATAAAAATAATTTGATCCTTTTGGAGTTCTGTTTAAACATGTTTTACAGTACTGGTATGTATCAACATAGTTTTGATATAGTTATGACAGAACATAATTTTTACATTCTATTAATGGGAACCAAGATTTTTAACAGGTTAATAAAATATTTTGTATATCTAAAGGTCAAATGAACCATGAATGCATGTATCTCATTCTGAACTATTAGGTGTCTTACCTTGCATGTAGATACATTGTGTTTTTCCAGCTTTTTTATAATTATACTGTCTAGTTTTAATCGTTTCACTTTCCTATTGGCCATGACATGTATTATATCTTATTTTTTCTCTTCATCCCTGGTAAAAGTGAGAAATACATCTTAGTATACACACCTGGGGGTCAGGTACTCACCTGTATTTTGGGTGGAAGTGGTCAACAGATAGCAAAAAAACTACACCCCAAAAAAATCAACCTTTTGGCTTAAAAATTTGAATTTTTGGCAGACTGCAAAAATGTGTGGAGGGGTCAAATCAGCAGCACATACTTGTATACTACAACTATGGGAGTGAACAGCTCCTCAGATGTTTGATAAAAAATGTATTTAACCATAGAAAGTGTAGTACCGGTATATACTGTTTCGTGCTTTACATCGATTGAATCTATACATATTTTGACCAGACTTTGTAAATCCATCGTATGTATGTCAGTCGTCCATGATACACACTGTAATTGTGTCATCGTTAGACGTGTCTTATTGTGTTCAGTCACAATAATTTATTTGATTGTCAGGATATTTCACTTTACACATTGAAACAAGGCATCCTAGAGATACTGCAGTGTTTAGAAGCAAGAAGTAGGTGTCAACACAAACAGCGTTATCTGATGTGGGTACCATAGGCGCTTGTGGTGACAAAGAATGAAAGAAAGCTGTTCATCATGGGGTTTGCACTGCAGAATACAGTCAACTCTACCAGATTCTAAAAAGCCAGATAAAAATAGTCAAACTCTGCCAGTTGTAATCGCCAAATAGTGTGTGAAGTGGTCAGTGACACAAGTTTACAGAACAAAAATCACCAGACTTTGCATGGGTGACCGGCTGGCTCTGTTATGTAAAAACAACACGAATAATGCTGGTGCTTGTGTATCGTACAGTATTTTATTTTTTACTGTGATAGGACACAGCACTGCTGCATCACTGAAATCGACAACATCGTTCAGTATTTCATTTTTTTTACCATGATGTGACTGAAA